CAGGGACATTTTTAAAACCTGGTTTACAGGTGATTCATCCAGATCTTATAATCTTAAGCCTAATGCACAGGGGTAAGATCCATTAGTAATGTTTTCACTCCTCTGAAACACTCCCTCCCCCCAGCCCTAGATTTCAACATACCCCTCTAACTTTGAGCTCTCTCTGAAGGAAGGAGATGACTTTGTTAGTCAAGGAAAAGCAGAGGAAAAGAGCCATTTAGCGATTAATAGATAGAACCAGGCTTACCTGATTCCCATTCCTGAGCATTAAACACTTATGGGTAATGAATATCTTGCCTGCCAGATAACTGTAACTACCCCTGAATATATTCATACTGTGTGGAGGCAGGAACCATGAACTGGGAGAGATACCAGGTATTACTGCTGCTGCTGACAACAAAAATAAGAGTATAGGACCACCCTAGTTACTTACTCCAGGCTAGTTCCCCAATTAATGTGAGTTAACATAGGTGGGCAGGTCAGGAAGAGGAGGGAGGAATTTGTTTGGAATTTGTTTGTTTGTTTGTTTGAGCTAATTTGAGCTAAATCCTTCCATGGAACTGAGTCTTGAAATCTGCAAGTCCCTGGGAGCATCCAGAATTTGCTGTGAGAAATGAAAATTGTACATATTTCACATCTTGGAATATCAGTCTTTTGGATTTCAACCGTTTTAAGATATTTTTCTACATAGCTAACACAGCATGTCACTCATACTCAATAAACAGCAAATAACAAGTGAGATCAAGAAAACTCAGAGGAGAAACAACCAGGAATTATTGCTCTTCAGGCTCTAAGAAATAAACATTAACTGAAGAGAATAACAAAACTAAGAAGAAAGAGCTTAAAGAATGCACTTAAATTCTAATCTAATGTTTGCTTCCCCTGAATTTCGGACAGCAGCTCTATTTTAAAAAAAATCAGCCTCTTGAAATGTTCATTTTACAGTTAAGCAAATATACTGCAGGGCATAAATTAACCCCACTCCAAATTAGCTTGTTTTTCTGCTTGTTGAGTATCAGTTCAAATTTATTTGCTATGGACCAAATTCAACAAAGTACTTAAGCACATGCATAACTTTGATCATGCAAGCAGTCCCACTGAGACTATTCACGTGCTTAAATATATGTACACAGTTAAATAATTTGCTGAATCCAGACCTACTTTATTTTTTTCTCAGGAAAGTGTTTGTAGAGACAGAGTTGTTTTATTCCGACCATGAAGAGTTTACTTCAAATGCATGATACTGAAAGCTGCATTGATTACGTGTAACTGGTCACACAGACACGTTTCTGTTCTCAATGAACCCAATTTTATAGTCGGGATTATATTTAAAGAGCCCACCGAGACATTGGATTTCTCAAGGTGAAATGACAGTGGGAAGGGCAGCAGTAGCTGAAGATCAATCACAGAGAGGAGGAAATTAAGGAACCTCAGAAACATTCTCTTCCTGGTTTTTGGTCAGAAAGGCATAATTCTTGGAAAACTTACATAACCAAAAGGCATGTGGGTCTATTTTCTCCTTTTTCTCCTCATTAAGAACATATGTGTAATACTGTGTGTGTACGGCTGTGTGGTGTAAGGAATTCCCTGTGCAACACTCAGAGCTGGCATCAAAAGGATGTGACTCCTTTCCTGGGATACTTTATTTACCTCTCTGGCAAAAAAAAAAAAAGCAGGATCTTCATGGGAAATCTGCCTCCCCAAACATCAACCAGTGATACAGATCTTAAAACACCTCTGGCTAGATCCTCAGGATGGCCACATAAATGTAAGGATGTGCTTAAATGTTTTACTGAATTACAGTCCCTACTCTTCTCCAGCAATGTCTGAAGGATTGACCTAAGGTGAATAAATAAAACACAATTTATTTAGGATTACACATAATGTAACTAAGTTAGGAAAATGGAAAAGGCATCTTGTTCTTTCAATACAGCTCAAAGAGCAACTAAGCTGCTATGTTACACAGGGAGGGTATTTGTACAATTTTAGCCCTATTTAATGGCTAGATTTGGGGCTAATTTCCCCCATTTTTTTTAAACAACCATTGCCATCTTCCCTGTTGGAGATAGCCTTGGTCAAATTCTACATGTTTAAGCAATCCCAGGAATACAGAGATTTGATTTTCTCTTTTGCCACCACCTCCCCTTCCCAAAGAGTTCCATTTTTGATGTGAAAAATCACTCTGCAAAATGTATTTGATGCCCTCCCTGGACATACTGGCTTATCAACCTGGGCAAAAATTACTCCGAAAATTTCATTAACATTATTTTGAAGCAGGAGAAATGTGTTACCTTTGGTGCCTTCATAACTAAATTAGAAAAGGGAAGTTGGAAAAAGAAGACGTTATAATATTAAAAATGCCAATGCTCTTTCTAGCTACGAAAGCTCTGTCACAGCCAGCAAGTGAAATATCACGGCAGTAGTGAGCATAAACATTTTATGCCTTGTTATGCTTGTTCTCAACATCTTCACCAGAAATGTCTTAATTATGGCCATTAATTTCTCCTCTCTAAAAGAGTGGTTTTCATTCACTGATGTAAGCTTTCTAACAGGAAACACTATAGCAAGCATATAGAAATTCTTTCTTGCGTTTGAGAAACTAATCAGTGAGCCAGCTTTCAACAGAAAATGAGATGTTTGATGTTCTGGCTCCCAGTTCTGCTGAACACCTGGAGTGGGAAACAATACAAACTCAATGACTTATCAAGTACTTGTTTTCAGTAAACCATTAACTCCTTGAAAAAGGCTTTTCTCCTTCCAGCAATAACTTCTCAGGTCATATACGTTCAGCAGTTTCCTAGATCACCCGCCTTCCTTCATAAATGTCCCTGAGAAGCCTGGATTTTGAGAAAGGATCTTCCATGAGTTTTACAGCTCTTGTTGTGTTTACAGGTGTCATGAAAAAAAGGAAGCAGTGGTATTCTGAGCACAGTACTTCTTGGGATCTTTATAGGAGTATTTGGTTAAACATTTGCAACAAACAATTCACCTGGAAAACACAACCCGTTTTCCTGCCTGTAAATTGCCTGCTGATACTCTTGAAAGTCATAGTAAAAAATACCTAGTGCAAACAAATCTCATCCAGTAGATTGCAGGGGAACTGGCCATCGGCACCATTCCTTTCTCCTGGAGGCATCCTCCCAGTGTTGGATTTTTTCAGTTTCTGGAGGTGAAGGTGTGTGTGTAGCTGACCACGTAAACCACTCGCTCCCCAACAGACTCACCTGATCTTTGCAATCTCCTCCTAACCTTATCTAATTTCATGCTGTGCTTCAAGTCTTTTTCACAGACTGTTGGGCCCCTCTTCCTGCCTAAAAAGGCATAGACACAGGTCAGGACTAGAAGCAACGCCCTTATGTGTCCAGAAGACTTCTTCAGCAGGGACTTCACATGCTCAGCGGTATGAAGCCATGAAGGAAGACGTGATCATAACTCAAAAGCCAGACCCAGGAGAAATATTTGTAGAGATATCCCCAAACCCAAATCTTGCAAACATTTATATGCTTGCATTTAAATTGAAGCATGTATATGCTCTTGAAAGAATTATCTAGCATCAATGCAGGGTCATGCGGAAGCAAAATCCTGCTCTTGCCTAAAGGCTTCACAAAACCCACCAAAAATAATAATTAAAAAAAAGCATGCTACACTCAAAAGCCCGTAAGAAGAATAGTACAGGAATACTACTAAAATGGTGATAACACAAATAACAAAATAAAAGGTTCTCTTGATGAGACTCTTCTTTGAGTGACATGGTGCACAGGTAGTTTGGAAAAGGCCACCAGCTTGGGGAATGACAACTGCCTTCTGCTGCTGGCACCCGAGCGCTGACCCAGCGCAGACGTTGGCAGACAGCAGAAAATAAATGCCTGGAGTTCATTTTCAGAGAGGTTTTGGTTTTTTTTTTATTTTTTTTTTTTAAGAAATGGTCATTTTTCCTATTCGAAGTTGCATAAACATAGAACCGATTAAAACTTCTTGTTCAAAATTTTCTGCCCCAAGCAGCCGCCTGCTTTGCTCCTCAGAGGTTGCTTTTATTGGTTTTGTGTAGTTTGTTTCAGTTTGTTTTTTGTTTTTTGTTTTTTTTTCCCCTGGGGAATTTTCCATCATCAAACCCCCAAAAAGCAGAAACAATAGAGAACGCTGCCTGCTGCCCTTCTACATTCGGGCTGAAGAAATAAGCACCGACGGCATCGGCGCTTCTTCTTCCAGGAGGAGGAAGAGAAAAATCTCAGCAAAAGATAATTAAAAAAAAAAAATCCAAAACCAAACCAAAACAAAAAAACAAAACCAAAACAACCCAAAAAACCCCACCACCAACCAAAAAAGCCACCAACCAAGAGATGATTCAAGGATTGGAGCATCTCCCTGATGAGGAGAGACTGAGAGAGCTGGGACTCTTTAGCCTGGAGAAGAGAAGGCTGAGGGGAGACCTTATCAATGCTGACAAGTATCTCAAGGGAGGGTTGAAGGAGGAGGGAGCCAGACTCTTTTCAGTGGTTCCCAGTGAGAGGACGAGGGGCAACGGGCACAAGTTGGACCATAAGAGGTTCCACTCAAATATGAGGAGAAACTTCTTCACGGTGAGGGTGGCAGAGCCCTGGAACAGGCTGCCCAGGGAGGGTGTGGAGTCCCCTTCT